AGATGACCGCTGGAGTCTCCTAGCTGGTCTCCTTGCCTTTAGTCAAATTTTTTCTCTTCCTTTGAAGCCCAAATTCTGGTGAAGAATTCTCTAATTTTTCTGTCTGTCCTCTGTGTTTTCAAAGAATCCTATACATACTTCTATTACAATTATTTGTTCCTACTAGACCATGAATTATTTAGTCAACAAACATATATAGCATTTACTAAGTATCAGGCACTGTTCTAAGTACTTCATAAATAATATTTGAGTATTAAAGCAGGCAATCAAATTTGTGCTCCCCTACCCAGCTCAGCATAGTCCCTGGTGTGTATAGTATGTATCTAATAAATAAGTGATTCACAATTTTAAAGGTAGAGAAGGAAAAAAAAAGAAACAGTCCTTTTACCTTAACACATGATTAGTATTCTGTTGTATGTGTTTTACATCCAGTCCTCCAAGGAAAAATTTGGCAAAAATTAAACTTCCCGAAGAGGAGCCGGGATGCCCGAGAAGGTAGTGAGTTCCCTGTCAGTTGAAACAGATGTAGAACATAGATTAACATCTGTGGACTACATTAAAAGTACTATTCAGCCTAGTTTCTGTGATTTTACATTGATTCAACAATGTTAGAGGAAAAAAATATCTTCTGCTTTCTAGTAAGTCATTAACAAGTAAGTTATACAAATGAGAAATAAGGATATAAGAGAAAAGGTGAGAGTAGAGACACTGATGGAAGAGATTAGGGAGAACAGTTCATGTATAAACACAAAATTTATAGGTATTGACTATGAATGAATCATCATAGGAGTTACTGCAGTGATTGCAAATATTGATCATGAGATTTTTGCTGTCAATGAAGTTGCTATTCAATAGATAGATGCAGTTTGACTCCTTTTCATAGATCCTTTGTCTTCCACATTCTAGCATGAGTCTTTAAAATAACTGTAATATTGTTCTTTGCCCATTACTTTATTTGATTAAAAAACTCAGAATGGTCAGAATTACTGAAAGAGTAAAGGGATAAAAATATTGCTTTTTTAAAAATAATTAAGAGCCTATTCACATACCATAAAATTCACCTGTTTAAAATGTACAGTTCATGGTTTTTTAGTATACTCAAAATGTACAATTATCACCACAATTTTTAAAGATTTGTATTGTCCCAAATAGAAACTTTATATATACCCATAATCAGACTTACCCCAGTTCTCCCTCCCTTTCTCCCTGGTCCTGGCAACCACTAATCTATTTTCTTCTCTATAGATTTGCCTATTCTGGACATTTAATATAAATGGAATCATATAATATGTGATCTTTTGTGACTGGCTTCTTTCACTTAGCATAATACGATTCAACATTCATCCATGCTATAGTACTTTGTTTTTATGGCTGAATAATATCCCATTGTATATGACAATTTTGTTTATCCATTCATCAGTTGCTGGACACTTGGATTGTTTCTACTTCTTGGCTACCATGAATAATGCTTCTATGAACATTCCTATGCAAGTTTTTGTGTGGTCATATGTTTTCAATTTTCTTGGGTATAAGCTAGGTCAAATAGTAACAAATCATGTGTTTATCTTTTTGCATAACTGCCAGACTGTTTTCCAAAGTGGGTACATGATTTCATATTCATACAAGCAATGTGTGAGGGTTCCAATTTCTCCACATCCTTGCCAACATTTCTTATTGTCATTTTTTTTATCCTAGCCATCCTAGTGGACATGAATTGGTATCTCATTTTGGTTTTGATTTGTGTTTTCCTAGTGGTGAATGATGTTGAGCATCTTTTCATGTGCTTATTAGCCATTTGTATATCTTTTTAAGAGAAATGTCTATTGATATCCTTTGCTCAATTATAATTGGGTTATTTTTGTTGAATTGTAAGAATTCTTTGCACATTTGGGTCCATATCCTTATCAGACATTTCATTTATAAACATTTCACTCATTCTGTAGGTTGACTTTTCACTTGATGTTGCATTTTGAAGCACATTCATTTCCAACTTGATTTTTTGACCCTATCAAGGGTGTCTTTGTATATTGTAAGGGTTAACATGAGTTTCAACATGAAGAAAAACAATTGTCTAATGAAAGTGTCATATGCATATGTATTACAAAATAAAGCCTTGTAGTATAGTTTGAAGTCTGGTAATGTGATGGCTCCAGATTTGTCCTTTTTGCTTAAGATTGCTTTGGCTATTTGGGCTCTTTTCTGGTTCCAAACAAAGCGTAGAATTATTTTTTCTAGCTCTGTGAAATATGATGTTGATATTTTGATGGAGATTGCATTGAATCTGTCAATCATTTTGGGTAGTATGGACATTTTTAAAATGTTGATTCTACTGATCCATGAGCATGATATGTTTTTCCATTTATTTGTGTCATCCACAATTTCTTTCTTCAGTGTTTTGTAGTTCTCTTTATAGAGATCTTTTACCTTCTTGGTTAAGTATATTCCTAGGTATTTGAATTTTTTTGTAGCTATTGTGAATGGTATTGAGTCTTTGATTTGGCTCTCAGCTTGACTATTATTGATGTATAGTAGTGCTACTGATTTGTGTACATTGATTTTGTAACCTGAGACTTTGCTGAAATTTTTATCAGTTCAGAAGTGTCTTTGGGGTTTTCTAGATAATAAGATTATATCATCAGCAGAAAGCAATGGCTTGACCTCCTCTTTCCCGATTTGGATACTCTTTATTTCTTTCTCTTGCCTGATTGCTCTGGCTAGGACTTCCAGTACTATGTTGAATAGAAATGGTGACAGTGGGCACCTTGTCTTGTGCCTGTTCTTAGTGGGAATGCTTTCAGCTCTTCCCCATTCAGTATGATGTTGGCTATGGGTTTGTCTTATATGGCTTTTATAAACTTAAGAAATGTTCCTTCTTTATTATGAAAGGATGCTGAATTTTGTCGAATGCTTTTTTCTGCTTATATTTTGCTTATGTTTAGGTGGTGAGTCACATTTATTGATTTACATATATTGAACTATCCTTGTATCCCTGGGATGAAGCTCACTTGGTCATGGTGGAATATTTTTTTGATGTACTGTTGAATTCGGTTTGCTAGTATATTTTTGAGGATTTTTTCATCTGTATTCATAAGGGATATTGGTCTATAGTTTTTTTATTGTGTCCTTTTGTGGCTTTGGTATCAAGGTGATACTGGCTTCATAGAATGAGTTGGGTAAGATTCCCTTCTTCTTGATGTTAGGAATAATTTCTGCAGTATGGGGATCAGCTCTTCATTGTGGGTCTGGTGAAATTCGGCTGTGAGTCTGGTGAAATTCAGGAAAGCTGTCTGGGAGGGCCTAAGATGGCCCTACCTAGCCAGAAAGTCTGGCTGTGGAAGTAAGGGCCATGTGAGGTCCACAGTTGGGCTTTCAGGGCAGGTTTCTGTCTTCTGCCCCCTACCCTGCTCTGTAGTCTCCCTCTGGTGTCTGCCAGAAGGTAGGAGCTCAAACTAGCTAAGCTCCCCCATGATGGCACTGCAGGCTGGGAGCTTTCCTGTCCAGATTCTATCCTGGACTAAGAGTGCGGCTTTCCTGTGGTGGGACGGTTGCTCCATGAGCGTGCTGTGGTTGGGACCCACACTGTGCTCTTTTTTCAGTTCTGCCCATGTGGGCTCTCTCACCTTCCAAGATTAGTTCACACATCTCCCTTCTGTGCCCCCCAGCAACACGATATTCTCCTGGGGGTACAGGATCTGGCCTGTGGGCCTGTCCCTGGGTCCCTAAAGATCAGTCTCTGACTGTGCCAGGGCAAAGCATGCTGGACCCGAGTTGTCTGTGGAGTGCTCAAGCAGGTTTGATGTCCCTATGCTTCGAGGTGTGCCCTGCTCTTATGGAGCAGCTGGGCTTGCAGCACCAGGCAGGGCTGGTAAGCAGGGAGGTCCCTGTCTGAGCACCTCTTAGTCCTCTGCAGGTGTTTAGTTGAGTCCCTCTCTTTGTGGAAATCCCAGTGTGGTGTATGCACCAATGGGGTGGGGGTGGGGGGGGAAAGCAGCAGCTCTTGAGAACCCTGGCTCAATCGTCTCTCTTTATAGCCTTAGGTGGAGGAGGGGAAGGGGAGGAAAAGAGTCTGAATGGACGACAGCTAGCACTCTTATCTTTAGTTTCTGTCCCTCTCTCTGGAAGGCAGCCTGCCTAGAATGTCCAGGCTCTGGGGTTACACAGATCCCCCAGACCCACCGGACTCTGTGGTTCCTGGGGTGTGGGCTGGAATTGGGAAATGTTTGTGTGGGAATGAGTGAGACAAATGCTGAGGGGCTGAAGCTCCCTGGGGAGGACAAAGGTGCACAGCAGGTGGAGAAGCAGCATGACACCTGCTGTCTAAGCTCGGATCCGTAGTGACTGGAAGCAACCCCAAGGACACTGGCAGCCTGCTGCTTTGTCCTCAAGAAACTCCCAGTTCACTGGCAGCAGCAGCTTTTGGGCTCATGAGGGTGGAAAGGGTCTCCAGCAGCTTAGGAGCCTGCTGACTGCCAGAGATGTCAAGGAGGGGGAAAAAAAGCAACTACATCTACCCATTTTGCTGAACTTGAAGCCTATAGGGCAGGGGTCCTCAAATTTTTTAAACAGGGGGCCAGTTCACTGTCCCTCAGACCTTTGGAGGGCCGGACTATAGTTTAAAAAAACTATGAACAAATTCCTATGCACACTGCACATATCTTATTTTGAAGTAAAAAAACAAATGGGCAAAAACACCCGCATGTGGCCTGTGGGCTGCAGTTTGAGGATGCCTGCTCTAGGGGGTTGACCTCTGTCAATACCTTGCTCCTTCTTGTTCTGCTGCACAACTTCTTCTCATAGAATGTCTGGTAGGTTCTGGCACTTTTCCCTCATAATTACACCCTGATCTGTGATTGTTTGGTTGTTTGCTTTTTCTTTCCTTTTCATCTAAAACTTTTCCTTCTTTCTGAGACGATCTGGCAGCTGGTGTCTCTGGTCAGCCATCTTCTGAAATTCTTAAGCAGAAATTTATCAGTGCTCACTGTAAATGTTCTTTCTTACAGGAGGATATGAACCTTAACGAAGAAAAAAAAGCTCCTTTACGAAACAAAGATTTTACCACCAAGCGTGAGATGGTTGTCCAGTATATTTCTGCCACTGCCAAATCTGTAAGTAGGGATATTTTCCTGGCACCAACAGAATGAACAATTAACTTACCATTGTCTGCTGAAAAATAAACAAACCTCAGCTCTTCAAATTTTGCTTCAGTTTACTCATGTAGACTATTTAGATATTAATTTATATATGTATTTTTACAAACTTAATATATATTTCTAAACTGTTCATCATTAGAAATGAGAGACTTTAATTATTACAAACAAGGCAGACTAAGGATACAAAATCTCTGAGGTTATCCAGTGAGTTTGGGTGCTGTGATTTTTCTGCGCTTAACCCAAAATTGACAACAGTTTGCAGGTATTCCACATAAAAAATATTTTGTGAGATGAAAATTTCCTATTTTAAGGGAGAAGACACAAATATAGCATAGTCACAGCTTTATTTAAATTTATATTAAAGCTACATGTCTGGTGTCTGCTTGCATGACATTTTTAGCAATATTTTTTATTATGCTATTTTGTTTTTTCATTATTTTATGCACTGCAAACTATGTAAGCTGCTTCATAATTGTTATCGTACCTCTTCAATTATTGTAAAGGAGTCACAACAAAGTGACTATAATTAACAATAAGTTATGATATACTTTAAAATGACTAAAGGAGTGGAATTAGAATGTTCCTAACACAAAGAAATGAGAAATATTTGAGGTGATAGACACCCTAATTACCCTGATTGGATTAATATACATTGTATACCTGTATCAAAACATCACATGTACCCTATGTATCCCTAATAATCAAAAATAATTTTTTTTTGAGACAGAGTCTCACTCTGTCGGTCTGGGTAGAGTGCAGTGGTGTCATCATAGCTCACTGCAACATACAGCTCCTGGGCTTAAATGATCCTCCTGCCTCAGCCTTCCGAGTAGACATGGGCCACGACGTCCACCCAATTTTTCTATTTTTAATAGAGACAGTGTCTCACTCTTGCTCCGGCTAGTCTCAAACTCCTGAGCTCAAGCGATCCTCCTGCCTCGGCCTTACAAAGAAAAATAAACTAATTTTAAAAATATAAAAGGGGGGCATTTAATAGGAGCTTTAATCAAATCTCTTTGAGAGTCATATTTTTGAAATAGCAAAATTCATCTTTTATATTTCTGTAAGGAGAAAGCTTTTGATATCTAGAGTTCATAAAATAACTGTGTGTGTGTATATGTGTGTGTGTGTGTATATATACTCAGTGAGTTTATGTGTATATATGTATGTTTATATATATTATATATGCATGTATGTATGTGCATACACATACATATAAGACATATATATTTTAAATTTAAAAAATTGAGCAGTGAAGAAAACAGGTCTTCATGGGAAAAATATGTTCTAAAGTTATTTGGCTATCCTATTAATGCTATGTCAGAACAGTAATTCCAGTGGCAATTACTAATACATTTTGCTCTGAATTCTACAATTGTATTAATTCTATATTGTACTTTAAGCAAGCTAAATCTGAATGCCGAACTATTTAAACATAACACATTGCAGCTCTGCCAGAGCAGAGCAACAGCATGTTTTTTAATTTGCTTCTGGTATCCAAGGGCAGAAATATGTTTCAAGTGATAAGTGGAATTTGCCATGAGCGTCGTTTTCAATAGAATTAGGTGATGCATAGGGTTTTACTTTGAAATTCTGATGAATCTCTTCTCATTTTTGCACTCAAGTTATTGTTCAGAGTAAAATGCTTTAGGAAATGCAGGATATACATTTAGTGTTATTTTTCAAATACCTAAAAGCTTATACACTAGTAAATATATATAACCGAATCCGAGTGTGAAGTACAGATAATAATAGATAATAATATATGCATAATCATGTCGTGGTTTCAGTGATAAATTTCGTTATTGTCTCTGGCTCATCTTTTGTTGTTGTTATTGTTGTTTGTGTAAATGAGACTGAATATAATGAAGATTATATGACGCTCTTATTCTTTGACCTTTTGATTATTACTTGATCTATGTGCAGAATGTGCTTTCATTTACTCTCATATTATTTCCTCTTCAAGTGACCAAAGATATGTACACTTTAAGTTATGTACTCATTTTTCAGATTAAAATGCCAAAATTTGGGTAAATATTAGATGAGCTCACTTGAATTGCTTTATTCAAAACATGTAAATTGAATGCTTCTCAAAAGACATGAACATTCTATGTTTAAGGCATTAGTCTGAAGATCAGTACTCCTTAGTTTATAGTCCTTATATGTTTCCTTCAGCATACATATGAACACCTGACATATGCATAGCACTTTCATGAGAGTTCTGAGATTAAACATTTTTTTGCTAGTATTTTTCATGGGCCAAATATTATGGATGGAAGAAAGCCTGTTGACAAGCATGTTTTGAAGCTTTCTCTCCTTAGACATTAATTAGTACTGTGTTTTCTATCATTAAAACCACAAAAATTGTTTATGTAATTTCTTTTTGAAGGTGAAAGGAATGGCATTCAGTGACAAACAATACTCCAGTCTTTTGACTTCTTCATGATCAGAACAATAAAATTTGCACCAGTTATAACCCAGTATATGGCTATTTACTTCTGTACGACCAAGGTTTCCATCGTGCTGTTTGTCTCTCATTAGGCTTTAAATATGCTTTGCATGTCTTGTGCTTTTTTATGCTTTTTCATTATATTGATGCACTGATTTAAAATGTCTCCTCATTTAAAGTAGATGTGATTATAGCTATCACTTTGTGAAAATGCTTTACAGGTAATCAAAACTTTCATCATGAAGTGAAAACAAAGTTAAGTGCTAGAGTCCTTGGTGGAAAATGTTTTATAGTCATATGTGGCCACATATAGTCATATTTGGACAAAAATAACCTGAAAGAATGTATATTTCCAAAACACCAGCATGTTTTTAGAAATGGAAAACCAAGCTTTCTTATTATTGCAAAAGGTATCCTACTGATTTGTAATCCTGAAATAGGCACAATATGTCAGTGATTTAGAGGGTATTTTGCATGCATTTAACAGCATACACAGACATTTATGAGGAAAAGTTATTCACCAAAGTCCTAACATTAGTTTGCTGAATGCCGACGTCCTTATTAGAAGAAACTAGTTTATTTCTAATTTAAATCATAATCTTTGAAATTGAGATTTAAAAAGCAAGTAAAATTATACTTTTGGAGATGTGAGCTATTGAAAGGTAGCATTGATTTTTTTTTTTAATCTCAATAGGAGATAATTTACAATAGTGATACCCGCTACATCTACAAATTTGTTAGATGACCTATATATATATAACTGACATATATATATATATATATATATGTCAAACTGACCTATATATATATATAACAAGTAGTTACAAGTTGCAGTATATTTATGTGTATGTGTATAGATGTATTATGGTTTTGCTTTTGCCATTATCAGATCCTTTCTTTCTCAGGTCTTTTCCAGGTATGATCTGGATATGATCGGAAACAATTGAATCCAGACATGACCAAAATAGTTACTCTTAGCTTCCCTGGTCTGATCTGTCGCATCTGTTGCTGTATGAAATTCATCGATTCCTCTGAAATGACAGTTTACTTGGAAACTGTCATTATCTTTTTGTATATTGTGATATCCTCTTAAGATTCTTACTAGGGTTTCAATTAAATTTTATTTTTTATAAAGCACTAGCTGAGATTTTGATAATAACTGCTATCAGATTAATGGTTTTGGATTGTGGATTAGCTATTTTTCAGACAGTGTTTGATATTGAAATATGAGAATGTGATAACAGTGATTCAACTTATATTTGCATTTTGGCATAAAATTATATTTAGGACTATGAGTTTAGTTCTTGCTTTCTTAAATACAATTCTGCCTTTCAAAAATTCTTTTGTCTCTTACCCATTAGGAAAGCTCAATTGAAGTTGCAGTTTTTTTAACTGTTTCCTCATTATGAATATGTGCATGTCTAGATATGAAATGCTTCTTTGTCTTTACATTATATAGCAAACTCTGATCTTATAATAGAAATGCTAGGATGACCTAAGAAAGTAGAATAATAATCAATCTGTCTTTTTTGTATTTTTCAAGTATAATATAAAACAATATTATAGACCTTAAATTCATAACAATAAAAATATTCCAGTTTTCAACCTAAAGTTCACTTCTGAACTTAATGCATGACTTTAAATGCAGCATTTATATTCTAAAATACCTTATTTCAATCTTAATAGTATGTCTTCCCTAAGAAGGAAAGAAAATAAAAAGCAATAGTTTGGGGAAAATATGAATTTTCTATTGATAGTTTTTTCAGGAGCTGTGAGATGTTAAAATATCTGATGCCTGATTACACGTAACCTTGCGTTACTTGATATTTAGATTGCACTATATGAAAAGTCCATTACAGTACATTTTAAAAGATCCTCAAATAGTAATTATCATTTATTTGGGAATCTTTATTTTGTAGACTTTATACATTCTTGAAACATAGTAGAAATTAATATTGATATATTTGTTTTAGCTTCTCTAGATCTAAAGTATTATAAGTATAAATAGGGTTAGCTATTTACTAATTTACTAAACGCTTAACTTCTGTGAAAAGCCTCTGATTACTAATATTGTTGCTGTTTGTTTTTTTTTACACCATAACCCCTCTTCGTTGACCACTGCATGCAGATAGTTGGAAGTAAAGTTACGGTGAGTACAAAAGATGTGTTTTACCCTTAGATATAAATTTGGACTTTTGTGGATTGTGATTTTTTGCTTGTGGTATTTTATGTGTTTGGTTCTTCTTTTGATACATGTTTTACTGAAGCAGTGAGACGAATGTTAGGATCAGGTGATTAGAATTTAGCTCTGGCAAGTATTTTTCCCGTGGTTTTGGGAGATGTTTTAGAACTAGAATATGCTTGTATATTTTTGTCTTGGAAATTTTTTACTATTTTTTGTTTGTTTTTGGAGTTATACTAACTCCGTCAGTCTTTATGATTCTGATGAAAACGTGTATATGATCTCAATTTTTTAGGGTGGTAGAAAGAGATTCCTAAAATGCTA